CTGTAGTTCAGGACAAGCTAAGGTCACGCAGTATGTAGGCTTTAGGGGTTTCCCATCTACCAGGTTTCTAATGAATTCTAATGAGTTTTATAAAAGTGAAACATGTATGGAGTAAACTATAAAACAACAGCATGTCTGTGTCAGAAATTTGTGGTTGTGACACGCGAAGAAAAGCAGAAAGAAAAAAAAATCCAAAATGAAGACACAACAAAAGTGTCGGACCTTCCCCTTTGTGGTTGTTGAAGCACATAAAGGGTTTCTTTATCTTTGGTGTAAAACACAGAAGTGGGCAGATTGTAGCTGAATAGGAATCCCCCCTTATCAGCTGTCAAGTAAACCTAAGTGGACTTTGACTATCATCAGGAGAATGAGGAAGTGAAGCGAATTTCAATGACTGACCCAAAGCAGAAGAGCAATGTTTAATTAGCTGTCTGTGACATTCATATAAACCCCTCTGACATTTAGCATCGGGGATATATCTCGTCCAAGCACGACATCTGAGATGTGATTTTGTTGAAAGGAAGCCGATAAAACCTCAACTTCAAGTCTGAGGCTTTATCATTCCACACACACGTTCCACAGAATATGAATGGTATTTTTAACAGCCATCACATGATAATGGCCTTTGCTGTCACTTTATGAGTTATGAACATGAGTGGGACAAACTGCAGACATGTGAGGTGATCAAAATAAACAAAAGGACATGTTGGTAACAAAGATGAAATCCACAAGTCGTGGTGATTACTCGGTTTCTTTTTCTTTGCAGAAATTTGGATATTGTTTGCACTAAATTTAGATCTGACAGCTTTTTTATGATGAGACAACACACTCCACTCAGCAAACATGAACGGTAGAAAAGACAGTAGTTGTTCCAGTCTTTTGACAGATATCAGCAAGTGATGAAATGATGCCTGAAAGTGTGTTCCTGAATCAGTGTTATACACCTGAAAACAAAAGCATGTGCTCATTGGGGACAGAAAAACAGATTAGCTCAGCTTCCTGCTGTCCAGTGGATGGGAGATAAGTCCAGTGGACATTTCAGTGAACAGTTCCTGGATGACATTCAAAGCTCTTCTTTGGATGTTGCAAAACAGGCGGACTGGTCATGGTTTGTTGTAACAAAGTGCCTGAACATTATATTTAAAATAGGTTCTTTGCGAAGTTATGTGTTATGTGTAGACACAATGCACCTCCATTCCTTGAGTAAGGAGCATTTTTTATAGTCAGCTGATGCATAGGTCAGTGTAAGCAGCAAAACAAATAAAACGGTTTTTCAGAAAATGGTCATGAACTCGACTGAAAACAAGAGAAAAAAACCCGAAGAAAGAAAGAACCCTGGAGAAGTATTGCTCAAGACACTTTTAAAAAGTTACAAGAAAGTCTAGCTCTGTTGAAGCGACATATAAAGAGATTAAGGGTGGCTAAATAGTGTTGTACATTATATAAATGTCCAAAATTAATTATGATCTTGTTCAGCTGACAGTTCGAGCCGATATTCAATAGACGGAACTGTTTTTGGCTCCAGTTGC